CCGCCCACTGCGGCTGGGGGGCGTCTGCTGCCTCTGCCTCGGCCCCTGCCCGCTGCCGCTTTGTCCAGAAGGAAGGACATCTGGTCTAATTAGCATAAGACACGTTTATTATTATAGATGATTTCTTAGAGGGGTGTTTGGCTGGCATGAGGGACAGTGGCCCTGTCTTTGGGGCATTGTAGCTTAGTGGTTAGGAGCATAGCTGGATTCAGACAGGTCTGAGTTGTGTCAGATTTCATCTCTGCCACTAATTAGCAGTATGACTTTGCAACTTAGCTAACTTTGCCTAGCATCAGTTTCCTCATCTGTAAAATGAGCGTCTCGTTTGAGTATTAAATGAAGCCTTTAATGAGATGCTTGGCCTTGAGTAACCATCTCCTCCAAATGTCATTATTCTTTGAAGAATTTGCTGGGTGGAGCTAATGAGCACACTGGGGAACATAGAAAGTAATTTGTTTGGCCTCCTGGGCCCAGGCAGAAGCACTGGGTACAGACACCTGGCCCCAGAGCCCTCTTTGTTTCAGAAGGAGATGCTGGGCTCTCTTTGAAAACCAGAGTTGAGTATTTTGACCTTTGAACTAGTGAGAACAAGAGAGCATGCCCTTCCTTTGCATCTAGACAAGACTTAGGTGAATTATATAGAAGATGGCAGATTTATGAGGCAGGCAGTATAGAATGAGACACCTAGCTCCTTCCTGACTTGAGAGTGGGCTCCAAGGAGCCTCAAGCTGCTATTCTGATATGAAATAGAGCAGGGTGTGGGGTTCCAGGAGGGAGAAAGGGGAGGGGGTGGACCTGTTCTTAGAGCAACAGGGCAGGATATAAGACCACAAGGCCTTGGCGATTTCCTCAGCCTGTATCTCATCCCCACTCTCAGGGCTATGGCTTCCCTGAAAGCTGACCTCTCTACAGCTTTTGGGGGTGGGGCTCCGGCCTGAGGCCAAGAGGGCAGGTAACTAGAGCTGAGATTCTTCCCATTGCCATTCTTGGGCTGGGACTGCATTCAGCAGATGGTGGCAGGAATACAGGTGAGTGCCCTGGGTTTCTGAGGCCTGAGGCCTTGACAAGCTCAGTGGCTAAATTAGGCCAGGATCTAGCCAGGGCTCTACTCTGCAGGCAGGAGAAGGCATTTCTACTGGGACTGGATGGGAAATAAGGGAGGTGAAGTGTGAAATTGGAGTGAAAAAGGGACCCGAAGGATTAAAAAGTCCATCTTCCCTGATAGCTTTTCATTCGAGTAGGAATAAGGGAATGAGAGTGTCTGGGGGTAGGGGATCAGGATGCTGGGGTTTCCAGCTGAGATGACTTGCCGGAACCTAGGTAGGAGGTAAATCAGAGGGGATGGAGGGAAGATTCCTTGAGACCACGTTGGGGGGCCCGGAAAGTGAAAAGACCCCTGATGGTGTCTGCTTTTATTTTTCCCTCCTAGCGCCCATGCTTGCCCAGGGTTCTGGGTGGAGGAGTGAAGCATAAAGGTCTCAGCATCCATGAGCACCTGAGGCCATCCTCACCCCAGCCCCTCGTGGGGCAAGGACAGGGCAGGTGTGGCCATTCCTCCCATGGCTACAATAGTAGCATCAGCCTTGCTTGGGAATCTGGTGGCAGCATACCCAGTACCATGCACCTGGCTAGCCACTGAGTGGTGGACTGTGGAGGCCTCCACCTGCTCAGTCTCCCTCCCAGGCTTCCTGACAGTCTGGCTCTTGGAATTGAGCCACAATAATCCAGCCACCTGCCAGGCGGCTCCTTCCAGGGCCTGTGGGGACTGCAAGTGCTGCTGCTTTCTCACAATGTCCTATGGGATCTGGCTGGTAGAGCACTGGCTGGCCTGGGTTTTTCTGGAGCAGCTGGATGTCAGCTACAACCAGCTGGTCCACCTGTCCATGGACTTCTCGGCCACCCTGGGCTCTGCTCCGCCTACACCTCTCACAACCTGCTTGCCAATGTGGACCCCTGCAGCCTGTGGGGCCTGGGAAACCTGGAACAGCTTGACCTGAGCCACAGCCTGGCCACAGTTTGGGGGCCACTTCTGCCTACACTGGCTCTTGCTCACTGGGAACCAGCTGCAGCAAGTTGGGGATGTGGCCCTGGCCACCATGCCAGGCCTGGAGGTCCTCTGGCTGGGAATGACATCAGCAAGCTAGAGGCTGAGGCCTTTGCAGCTCTGTGCATGCTGGGCCTCCTTTCTCTAGTAGGCAACAGCACCTCGAATTTAAGGTGATGGCGGGCATCCGGACAGCGTGCACACGGCTGCTGCTGGCCAATCATCTCTGCAGCAGGCTTTCCAGAAGCTGGGCCATCTGTGGCACTTGTATGTGGCCAACCTGGGCAGTGCGACTTGTGCTGGACCTGGGAGGCTGTAGGGGGCATAGCTGAGTAGTGTGGAGGCCTGGCTTTGCTTATCTGAGACAGTTACTGAGCTGGGTATCATAGGCACCATGCTAGTCACCATGGTGCTGTGGTCATGGCTGAGGGCAAGTGCAGGAGGGGGTGCCCCAGAGGAACAGGGAAGCCCTCTGGAGAGGTAGGGTGTGCTCTAGAGGGAAGCGGAGGCAGCTGGATTGGGGAGGGCAGGTGGACCGAGGAGAAGGAATGTTCCTCAGAAGTCTTAGGGGCTGTTGTCTGTCCAGGCAGGGGTGGAGGGAGGAAGGACAAATGGCTATGTTCATCTCAGGTCTTAGAACCCCACTACTCACTTATTTACCACTTCTGACCTAGCACAATGCCAGCATCTTTCCTAGCCCTATAAAGAGGGACTTGGCCTCTAGCCCTCAGTACCCCTCTGGGGAGAAAGCAATAAAAGATAGAGACTGAACACCAGAGGGAATTGGGATGGGATGGGTAACAAGGGAAAAAACTTCATTAATCCTATTCTCCTTCATACATGTCCCTGCCGTCTGTTTTGGGGGGCTTAATCGGAAGGTGTGGTCTGGGGTAGGGGACTGTTCCAGGTGCAGGCTCCTAAAACTATTCATGGACATGTATGATCCCATTTCCAGTCCTCAATACCTTAGCTCCTTCCCAAGGTTGTGTATCTTGTCCCATTTGAATCAGGGATGGGTGAGGAGATTAGGAAATAAAGTCCATTGGAAAGTTTATTCTGTACTATGTGCTTGTGTTATGGTGATGAAAACTTTCTCGTAGTTGTCACTGGTGGGCAGGGAAGGTAGGCAAAATGACTTTTGTTGTTAATCCTCACCCGAGGATATTTTTTCCATTGGTTTTTAGACAGAGTGGAAGGGGGGCGGAGGAGACAGAGAGAGACACCCATTGGTTGCCTCCCGCTCTTGCCCCAACTAAAGTCTGCAACTGAGGTACGTGCCCTTGATCGGAATCTAACCTGCTACCGCTCCAACCACTGAGCAACCCAGCTAGAGCCAAAATGACCTTTAATCCAGGCTTTTTCTCATTCCTCTTACCTGGAGACCCTACCTCCCCACCCTCTGCCCCACCATACACCTACATAATTCCATTCCCTAGGATTTTTTTGTTTCTGTTTTTTTTTTTTTTTTTTTTTTTTTTGCATGGATATATCCCTCTCTCACATTCTAACATACCCAGGCTTTATCCTAGTGACTTTGTAAAAAGTTAAATATGAAAAAGTGTTTGTAGTCTAGCTTTTACTGGCTGATCAGAAGTTTTTATTTTTTTAATAGAATTTTATTGATTTCAGAGTGGAAGGGAGAAGGAGAGAGAGATAGAAACATCAATGATGAGAGAGAATAATTGATCGGCGACCTCCTGCACGCCCTGCACTGGGGACCGAACCCACAACCCAGGCATGTGCCCTGATCAGAATCGAACTGTGACCTCCTGGTTCATAGGGCGACCCTCAGCCACTGAGCCACGCCTGCTGGGCTGATGGGAAATTTTTAATTCACATGATCAGAATGCTGTTTGGACGTGAGGCCCCTTTTCCCCCAAGGGAACTAGAAACAGACCTGAATTAAATGGCCTAGTGGGAGTGCTTATAGAATCTTAACTTCAGTATTGGAAGATAAATTTATATTATAGGGTGGTGGGTGGGGTGCAGGAAGCTATGCGGGGGCAGCTTTGTGGTGGCAATGCCAGAATGCCCAGAACTTTTGCCCATTTACTTATCCAACAAATAATTACTAAGTACCTATGATGAATAGGATAGTGGCAACATCTCTTGTTCACTTTATTCAGCACATACGTCCTGAATGCATTTTGTATACTAGGGCCTGCGAATATAGTAGTAAACAGACACCAGACACTGTCCTTGGCCTGGAGCTCACAAACTAGTGTTAATCTAATCATTAACAGAAGAATTACAGATACATAATTGCCTGTGTGCCAAGTGATTCAAAGGAAGAGTGCCTGATGGTTATGAAAATAAAATAGGAAGCTGAGAACAAACGAGACCAAAGGAGAAGTGGGGGAGACCAGTTGGAAACCTGCTGCAGTTAAACCTACAAAAGATGGTAGTTTGGGCTAGATTGGGAGTGTGGCAATTGAAGAATATGGACTGATAGTGAGATGTCCCATATATACACCTCAGATCTCTCTCTTAGGGGACGTAAGAAAGGCAGACCAAGACCATACTTCTCTACAGGTAACTTTGGAGAACCCCTTACTTTGAATTTAAACAAAAGCAGAGGATTTCCTCAGGCTTGCGTATGCACAGCATTTACTGAACCCCTATTATGTGCTAGCACCAACACGGTCACATTTAAACCTCACAGCAACCCTACAGTAGAAGTCATTTCTATCTCACAGAGGAATCTTGGGAAGTACAGCCAATATGCCCTAAGTAACAGGGTTGGAGTTAGGATCTAGCTGCATTCCAAGACTAGTTCGCTTCATTAAGTTTATGACTCAAGGCTTCCCACTGTTCCTTCCTTTAGTCTAGTTTTCAATTTTGCATCTACAGAGAGGGGGCCGTAAGCCTCCATGGGCAGAGGGAAAGGCTGAACTCTGTTGCTAGAACATCTTCGGTCCAGAACTACAGGACGAGAGCCTTGTTTCCCAACGGAAGAGGTAAAAACAAACCCCGCGAGACCGGAAGTTGCGTGTCGCACCCCCGCCCCGGCCTCCCAGACCCGGTTGAGGCCGCGGCGGACTGCCCTTCCCCAAGATGGCGTCGAAGGTGGGTTCGCGACGGTGGCTACTGCAGCTGCTCATGCAGTTGGGCTCGGTGTTGCTCACACGCTGCCCCTTCTGGGGCTGCTTCAGCCAGCTCATGCTGTACGCCGAGAGGGCCGAGGCGCGCCGGTGAGCGGGCCCCCGCGGTGGGAGGCTGCGGTGAGGTGGGGAAGGAGTTGGGCCTGGGGCTGGGAGGACCTGGGATCTCAGACTGTTAGGGGCTCTGGTCCGGAGCACGGTGGACATCGAGCGTAGTGCGGGGGTCACGGCCATGAGCGGGGTTTCCGGTTTGGAGGAGCAGTGGAGCTGGCGGGAAGTCAGGGGGGCTCCAGGCTCTTCTCCCCTCTTCATTCTGACCTCTTTGCTTGCCCCTCCCGGCTTGCAGGAAGCCCGACATACCAGTGCCCTACCTGTACTTCGACATGGGGGCGGCCGTGCTGTGCGCCAGCTTCATGTCCTTCGGGGTGAAGCGGCGCTGGTTCGCGCTGGGGGCCGCCCTGCAGCTGGCCGTCAGCACCTACGCCGCCTACGTCGGGGGCTACGTCCACTACGGGGACTGGCTGAAGGTGAGCGGCCGGCCTGCGGAGGACTTGGCCTTGGGCGTGCGGGGGTTTTACAGACTGCAATGGACGGACCCGAGAGACCCCACAAACCTTCCTTCCAGAGTGTGGGAGCCGAGGTCCACGGATGGGAAACAGACTTACCCCAAGTCACACCACAGTTACCATCGCAGGTGGAGCCAGGACTAGCTCACCTGGTTTCCAGGACCCTTTAAACCGTTAGTTTAGTAATCTCGGACTCAGAGGGCTAAAGGAACCTTGGAGGTGTCTGGTCCAAAGATGTAATTTTGTGAAATTTAAGTAATCCTAGTGCAGCACACAAGCCTGTAAATGCCAGAACCCCTGCCAGGCATTTTGGGCTTGGAGAGAGGCCTGGACAAAGGCACTGACCTTAAGGAAGGCTGTCTGTCCAGGAGGGGAGGCAGCTGTGTGAGGGCTACAGGAAAGTGAGATCAATGGGTTTTTTATGGAACAGACTATACTAAATAGCAGAAAGAACATGGGGATTCTGGGCTGCAGGCCTGGGGGTGGGAAGGGGACAACACTTGGTAACTGGGTTCTGCCACTTTCTGTAGGATCTTGAACAATTTAATTAACCCCTTTGGGCCACTTCTGATAAAAAGAATTATCTGTCTCTGCTGTACCTGCCCACCACACTTGGAAATGGTAAGAGGGTTCATCACATGGAAGGGAATGTATAGAGAGGAAGTTCTGTGCTCTGTGCAGTCAGGAAATATGTGGCAGTTGCAGTTCCTGACTGGAGTCCCCTTGCCTTGGCCTAGGTCCGTATGTACTCACGCACAGTTGCCATCATTGGCGGATTCCTTGTGCTGGCTAGCGGTGCTGGGGAGCTCTACCGTCGGAAACCCCGCAGCCGTTCCCTCCAGTCCACGGGCCAGGTCTTCCTGGGCATCTACCTCATCTGTGTGGTAGGTTGAGGGACTGTTGGCTGGAGGTGCTTGACTGGGAGTAAAACGTGTGCCCATGCTTGGCAGAACTCAGGGAGGTGGGCCTGTAGATCCTGATGGCCATGCCTCAGAGGCCCTCCAAGGGCCTGAGACCTGGCCAGTATTCTTCCAATATTACAGCCACCAGGGGGAGAAAAGGTTGAATTGGCCATTCACTCCCAAGCCTGAGAGGCAGGAGAACAAGATGGATTGTTCCTCTCAGCTCCAGCTCTAGAGGACTGGGAGAGGAGACAAAGGAGAGGTTTGGTGGGTTCAGGCAGCAGCTGGGACTGTGCCACTTAGAACTGATGGGGATTGAATTAAAAAAAAAAGCCTGGGTCAGCTGGCTCGGTTGGAGTGCTGTCCTGTACACCAAAAAGGTGTGGGTTCAATTCCCAGTCAGGCACTTACCTAGGTTGTGGGTTTGATCCCCTGTCGAGGCATGTATGGGAGGCAACCAATTGATGTTTTTCTCTCAGATCGATGTTTCTCTCCCTTCCTCTCTCTCTCAAATCAGTAAATAAATCCTCAGCTGAGGATTTAAAAGAAAAAGAACTGATGGGGGATGCCTAGTTAGCCAATTATGGTTGTCCCTAGTACCCTTAAGGGAGGCCAGTGTGGATGGGGACATGAACAGGCCCCAGGCTCCTTGCCCTCATCTTAGTTACTGGGCACCATATTCCAGGGCAGAGCTCTGGATTCAGAGGTGAGAGCCCCGGCTATCTTCTAAGCTCCCCGAGATAGGAAAGACATAGACCTTCATTTCATGTAGCTCCCTAGTCTGAGGGGGAGATGTAGGTCCCACTTTCAGAGAGCCCCAAGTCTGAGAGAGAGGAGTCAGAAGCCCACCTTGCAGAGGCTGACTTGCAGGTGCCATCTCGGGTGGGCTTCCGACAGGCTCCTCAGCTTGTTGGACAGTCTTAAAAGATGGTTTGTCTCTAGGCCTACTCACTGCAGCACAGCAAGGAGGACCGGCTGGCATATCTGAACCATCTACCAGGAGGGGAGCTCATGGTCCAGCTGTTCTTCCTGCTGTATGGCATCCTGGCCCTCGCCTTCCTGTCTGGCTACTACGTGACCCTGGCTGCCCAGATCCTGGCTGTACTGCTGCCCCCGGTCATGCTGCTCATTGACGGCAATGTTGCCTACTGGCACCACACACGGCGTGTGGAGTTCTGGAACCAGATGAAGCTCCTTGGAGAGAGTGTGGGCATCTTTGGGGCCGCTGTCATCCTAGCCACTGATGGCTGAGTTGCACTGGGAGAAGCTGAAATGGGTGCAGGGAGCCGCTGAGGGTCACCCTACCTTTCTTGCTGGCCCGGTTATGTTTATTTATGCTTTTTGGTCTGTTTGTTTGATTCTTTGCTCTGTGTGTATGTGGGTGTGTTGGTAAGAGACAGGTCTGTTCCCCAGTTCCTGGGCTCAGCCCTTGATGGGGGAGCCCTCATGATGATGCCTTACAGGGTTTTTCTCCATTTGTTAGGAGGAGAGGTGAGGCCAGAGAAGAGAGTAAGGCAGCACTAGGGTAGGGGTACTGGGTGTGGGAGACAGGAAGGAAGACCTAAGAACTGGAAGAGAGCAAAAGTGAAAAATTCCTTTTGAACTGGCAGAGGCAGCTAGGCTATGCGAACCGCTGACAAGTGGATCAGGCCCTGGAGGAGCAGAGGGGCTGGTCGAGCCACAGAAGTCACATGGGTTCTCAGGATGTGCCAGGGGCAGAAATAACACTAGTTTGAGAGCAGAGCAGGCCACAGTCTCCTCGGGTGTGAAGGGGTGGGGTAGGCAGCGGCCAACTCCGCTTCCTGCCTTCTGTTTCCAGCTCCATGGATGGCCTGGTGGGGTGAGTGCCCTCCCAAACACCAGACCACACAGTCCTCCAAAAATAAACATTTTATACAGACATTGGCTTTGCTTCTCTGTTCTCCCCACGGGACACTTTGCCATTGGCTGGGATTGATCTTGGGTTTCTTGAAAGAACATATCTGGTTAAGCTCCATCAAGGCCCTGCCGTAATCTTGCCCCTATTCTGAGAGTTCCCACAGTCCTTCGGCTCTCTTCAAGGATCTCATCCTCCCTGTAGTATGTTCTTTTGACCTCTCACCTCAATCCTTATTGTAGCTTATTTTTCCTCCGCATTGATGTCAGCTGTTTTTGAATAAATCCTTAATGAGAGCAACCTTGAGGGGGAGAACTAACATTAAGTGTCCACTGTGAGGCCAAGGGATTTACATCTTACAGGTAGGGAAATGGAGACTCAGAGAAGGTCAGCAGCTTGCCTCAAGCCACAGGGCAAACCCAGCCTCAGAGCTGGATTGCAGGTCAGGCTGTGTGATGCCATCGCCCAGATGTATACTGAACATCACCTTCTGAGGGAAGACGGGCTGCTCTTGGGGTTTGGTTCACAGTCCCTGCTGTGCTATGGAGGCCTCTTAATGGGCCCTCTCCCCACTCATCCATGCACCCCCTGGCAGAAGGTAGTCTCAGCAACCAGTGTGGTACCTGGAACATCATGGGCGTCAAAAATATTCAATGAAACCTCCAGCTTTGGGCTACTGCCTGTCTGCTCCCACAAAGATGGGGACACAGCCTCTAGGGGGCTGCAGGGGTTCTGTGCCCTGCCTGAAAGGGAGCTGGGACTGCTGTCGGTCTGGTCTGTGGAATGGAGGATGTTCCCCAACTTAGGAATAGGGGAGCCCCTCAGGGGGTTGCATTGAGGGACATGGTGGCAGCATTCATCGTGGGGGCCCTCCATCTCATTTAGCTCCTCTGCTCTCTCTAGAAGTCCCCTGGTTCCTCAGCCCACAAGATCTTGCTCCCAGAGAGCCACTGCTCCTTTCAAGTGTGAGCTGACTCTCAGACAAGTATTTTCATTTTAATCAAGGCCTCCTGAAAAGTTGCAACACCCAAAGGAATGAAAATGAGTGGTAGAAGGTCAGGCAGACAGGGCCTCTGTGCTGTGTTTTGGGCGAGGAAGCCTCAAAACACAGCACAGAAGCCACAGAAACTGACCTACTCTAAAGTTTAGCCCTGAGTAGAGCCCGGGAAGGCAACCCCTCCCCTACCCCCCAGATCCCTAGACTCTGGTGGAAGGCCATCTGGTGGTGGCTTTCGAGCAAGTGGAGGTCTTGGATGGACTCTTCCTGTGCTTGTCCCACTTCGCCTCCCGCCTCAGGTAGAGTCGAGGAGGGGCTGCTTCCTCCTCCAGATCACTCTGCCAACAAACCTGGTCCAGCCTGTGGCTGCCTGGAGTCACCTCCGGCAGACATGGCTTTCGGTCCACCCTGGCTGTCCCAGGGCCTGCAGGGCTGGTGGTGAGGGTCAGCTGCCTGGGTCAGACGCTGGCTTGCAAAAGGAGTCCGGCAGCCCCTTGGCATGGTTGACCAGCTCATAGGAGTCTCGGATATCAGCCAGGCCAAACCAGAAGAAGATCCACTGCTTGTTGGAAAAGCTGCCATCACAGTGCTTGAAGTACCTGGTGGTGGTGGTGGGAGCTTTTAGTGCCAGGCCAGTGCTCATTTCTCACTGGTTCATTTACTGAGGACCTCCTACATACCAGACACCCTGCTGGGACTTGCGGTCTGTTACCTGATTTTATCCTCAGCAGCTAAGAGCCTGGTGGTGGTGTGCTTTCACAGGGAAGCAGCCAAGGCTCAGAGGAGCGGGGTAGCTTGCCAGAGTCTCACAGCGAGGGTGAGCATGAGGACACCCCTTGCTCTCTCCACACTGCCTTGGCTGTGCAGCCAGGGAAGAGGTTCTTGTTCACCACTTGGTGCCCACAGAGCAGAGTAATGGGGAGTGAGGGGAGAGTTGCTGAAGGAAAGAGAGGAGTGGGGGTTCTGCTAGGCCTTAAGTCCGAGCGGGCAATTGGGCCTGGAGTAGAGCCTGAATGATCAGAATTTCTCAGGACCCTGGGAGAGATGGGGGTGGGGGAGGGGCTGTCACTTGCTTCCAGGAATCCACTGCTGCAGGGCGGGGGTGGAAGGGGGGTTGTTCTGTGTCCTCTGCCTGGGAGGAAATCTCAGGCTCCCTGTGTGGTCCTGGAAAGTGGGCCACAGTGGGCGGGGCCTTTCCCTGGGGAAGGACAGCTAGTGAAAGAAGGGGCCGCCTCGCCTTCCTGCCTGGTGGACCCGGGGTGTGGCTGGCGAGGGCTGGTGAGGGAGGGGGATGGTGCCCAGCTCCGGGCTGGGAGGGGCAGAACCTACCAGGGATTGATGGGGTTCGTCACTCTGGAGCGCCAGAAAAGCGTCTGCAGGTCCCGCCGCAGACACTCCCACAGCATCTGGCCGGAGCCTTGGCCCTGGCGGCTGGAGTTCACCACAAACTTGTCCAGATACGGGGTGCCCCCCAGTACGGGCTCCGTGGTCAGGATGGCGGCAGCGTTGTACCTGGCGCAGCGGGGAAAGTCAGGCTGGGACTTCTCCTTGGTCCGAAGGGCCGGGCTGTGTCCCGGGGCCTCTGCCCTCTGGGGCCCCCAGGCTCACCCCTCGGAGACGTAGACAGAGTGCAGCCGCGGGCGCAGCGAGGCCAGGTAGTCCTCGCGGAGCTTCTTGCCGAAGCTGGTGTTGACCAGGTTCACCAGGCGGCCCTGGTCCAGGCTGTCCAGGCTGCGCACTCGCAGCAACCGCTCCGCGTTCTTGAAGAGGGTCCCGGACCCTGGGGTGGGACGAAGGAGGAGGGGTTAGTTCAGCCCGAGAGCGAGGTCTCATCCACTCCGTTGGGGCAGCCTGGGGGCTCCAGATAGGCCGGGGGCGGATGGGACAATCTCCCGCTTTGGGAGATCGCCCCGGCGAAATGCGTTCAGTGGTCTGCATAGATTTGAAGGTGATTTTCTCCCAGGGAAATGCATTTCCCAGGCTGATTGTCCCTGCCGTTCAGCCCACGGCCTGGAGTCCCACCTACTTCACCTAGTCCCGCCCCCGCCCCGCCCACCCTCCTAGTCCGGTCCATTCCCCTTCGTGTTGCCCTCCAAGCTCCGCCCTCTACGGAGTTGCCACAGTCTCCCAAGTCACGCCCATCTCTCTGGTTCCATTCAACTTCCCGCTCATTCTCCCGCACCTGGCTGACCTCCGCCAGGTTCCGCCACAGCTGAGAGCCTGTGCCGAGGAGTCCCCTGCGGCCTGCTTCCCCCACCCCGGGGGCCTGCGCTCACTCCCGGGGCCCAGTCCTCTCTTGCTCGCCCCCCACCCCCTTGCTGCTGCCTTTACCCTTGTTGCTGAAGAGCTCGGTGAGCAGCGTGCTGGCGGCAGTGATGGCGGCCGAGGAGTGGTGGGGCAGGCGGCTGAGCACCTCCACGATGAGCCGAATCTGCTGCCGCTCCTTGGCGCTCACCCACTCCGCACTGGTCACCAGGTCCAGGTCAGCGGGCAGATTCACGTTACTCAGGACCTGCGTCGGGGCTAGGAATTGAGCCTCCGACCCGCAGCCGGCCATGGACCACCCTGCCCCAGGGACCTCTTCTCGCTGACCCCTTTGCCCTCACCACCTCCCAGAATCCTTGGCCAGCGAGGGCTCAAATCTGGGCACCAGCCGGGCTGAGCCCCTCCCGGACCCTCCACTCTCGGCTTGAGGGGGCTCAGCGAGGCCAGCAGTCGTGGGTGAAGCCCGAAGGAAGGGGACACACCTTGTGGCTGCTGTCCCGCAGGCCGCCTGTGTTGTTGAGGAAGATGATTTTGGTGGGCTGCAGCGCCTTGGCCAGGGCGGCCGTCACCTCCAGCGAGTCCAGGAGCACGGAGCGGCGCGCGGCTGTCTCCCCAATGGGGCACAGGATGGGGATGCTGCCCGACTCCAGGCACCACTGCAGCAGGTCGGTCTCCACCGAGATGGTGCCCCCATAGCTGTGGGCCAGACGTGGTGTTCAAGAGGGCCTCCTCCAGGCCCGCTGGGCTGGGGCCGAGCAGACGGGCCATGTGATCTGAGCACTAAGGGGCAGGCAGGGCTGCACTGACCTAGCGTGCGGGGCTGGCTCAGCCGCGCTCAGCACCGACCCGCCACCAAAAAAGGGCACAGCTGTAGCGGCGTTTTGCCGGAGCGCGTCCACCAGCACCTTGCAGCTCTGAGCAAGCTGTGCCTTGGCCTCCCAGAAGGAAAGACAGCCAGAGGGCGCTGTGGGAGCCGGCAGCCCCAGCACCACCAGCGGCTTCATGTCCATGCGCTGCAGGAAGGCCAGTGCGAAGGCCAGGCTGGATACGTCCTGCTGGCACTTGAGCACCTCCTCGTCCACCTGCGGAGGAGCGGGCGGTCAGAGAGCCGCACCGGCCGGACTCCTGCCGCACCCGCTTGGTCCCGCGGCCTGGCCTTCAGGGCCCCCTAGGAGTCCCCCTCCCCCGCCCCTGCCCAGGCCCCATTTCTGGCTACCGGGGCCCACCTGCTCCGCCCTTTGCCCCGTTGGGTCTTGCCATCCCCTTATCTCACTCTAGTGTTCCTCCCTCGCTCCTCCCTGCGACCTTGGACTCTAGGACACTGGGGGGAGGGGTGACGGGAGCGACTCCCGCCCAGGTTCCCCACTTGCCATCGGAACCCCTAACTGTGCCCATGGTGGGGGCCTTCTCCAGCGCATCACCCTTGGCGGTTCCGCTCTCGGACTGGGCGCCAGACTCTGGGGAGAGCTCAAAGCCTCGCCCGGTCCTGGGGCCCCCTTCCCGGTTCCGCCGTGCAGAGTCTGCTGCCGGTCCTGCCTGCCCGGCGACCTGTCGCCGCTCAACCCCAGGCCCCCGCCGTGGCACGGCCCGCGGCGGCTCCTCTCACCTCGATCACAGCGAAGGGCCTGTCGGCGGAGGGGTGGCAGGTCTGGAACTGGGAGAGCCAGTGGCGCGCCTCCCCGCGGCTGGCCCCGCAATAGTTCAGGTATGAGTGGATGTCCCGCTGCACCAGGGAGCGGCCCCCCGATGGCCTTGGAGGCTCCGGACTTTCACGTCGTGATATATGGGCCCTGCGTGAGTGTGCGTTTAGAGTGGTGATTGCTCCACAACCTCTCATGTTGAAATATCTTTCTGCAAAGAAAGTTACTTCCAATAGTGAAACTAAATACCACTAAATTGGGGAATGGCAACATAATATAGTACATTCATTCATCATAATATTATGCCCTAAAAAACCTCCTTATTTAGATGTGTAATGCAGCTAGTAGTATTACGTGATTGAATATGGGATAAATTTACCTTACGTTTCAAAACTCTAGCACCTAAGACGGTATTCTGTCCCAAATCTTAGGATAAGTGATTACTGGTTCCTCACGGGAAATGACATGTTAGGGGCAGGGTATGGTTAATTAACATAAAAAATTGTCCAATTGTTATGCCTTCTTGTATTGTCATAATTCCACCTCTCAAAAAGCTTGTGCGAGTTTTTTGAATTTGCTAGCCTATTTTACTTCTCAATCTCCCCAACCGAATCGTAAAGTTCATATAGGACCTGGAGCAGCCCGGCCCCTGCGGTGGTCCGCACCGCCCAAGCCCACCGCATCATCGCCGCGACACCCACGCCAGCTCGCCCCCACGAGTGGCCGTCTGTCCCGAGCTTCGTGCTCGGGGGGACTCTTAACCGGCCGCGGGGCGGGCGGGGCTGGCAGTGGGCTCGGTGTCGCCGCTGGGTCAGACCTCGGGTCGGTGGGCGGGCCCACAGGCTCCCCCGCCCCTGGGGGGGGGTCGGATGGAACCCTTTAGCCGGGGTCACATGACCGAGATAAGGGTGGCGGCGTCTTTGATCTGCGGCCAAGGCGGGGTTTCAGGAAGGGCTCAGCGGACCCGGGGGGTGACTTCGGGGGGCCTGCGGGGTCTTGGATGATTACAGGGGAGTCTGACTAAGGCCCGAGGGGAGAGCAGGTGGCAGTGACTCCTGCCCCGACCGAGGGAGGGCACCGAGGTGGGGGAGAGCCAGTCCTGCTGGGGGTCGAGAGGGCTCTGTCCTGTTGTCCCAGCTCAAAGCCGTTTGGAATCATGAAGTTACCAGGGTTATTCGCACACCAGCCACTGAGTTCGACCTGGAATATTTTTGTCATATCCTCAAATCACTCCTTATTAGCATTAAATTTTTTCTTTAAACTTTTAAAATTTATTCATATCTAAAACTGTAGCTAAAAGGCCAGAATCACTGACCATATACAGAATAAAGTCATATATATATATAAAATTGATTTTTTTACAGAGAGGGAGGGAGAGGGATAGAGAGTTAGAAACATCAACCAGAAAGAAACATCGATCAGCTGCCTCCTGCACACCCCCAACTGGGGATGTGCTGGCAACCAAGGTACATGCCCTTGACCCGAATTGAACCTGGGACCCTTCAGTCCACAGGCTGACGCTCTATCCACTGAGCCAAACCAGTTAGGGCCAGAATGAAGTTTTTTTAAAAAAATATTTTTTATTGACTTTAGAGAGGAGAGAGAGATAGAAACATCTTGAACCCTAACCTCCTGGTTCATAGGTCAACACTCAACCACTGAGCCACACCGGCCGGGCCAGAAGAAAGTCTTAAGAATAAAGTAAGAACAAAACAATGTTATTAAATTCCAGCCAGAAAGTGTTACCTCCTCTCCTGGCAACCCAGGATGGGCATTATTATTATTATTATCATCCCCATTTTACAGATGAGGAATCTGAGCACAGAAATGTGTGAGGGCCAAGGTCACTCCGCTCAGAAGCGGTGGAGCTGGTCTTTGAAACAAAGCAGTTCTGCTCCCCATCCATGCTCTGAAGCAAGAATTAGAAAGGATTTGCAGACTTTCAGAGGATGTGATTCATTGTTCCTTATTGCTGTATCCTTGTGCTGCTCAAACACCTGGTGTACTTCCAGTTGTCCACATCCTACCCCGGGGACATGCCGATCCATGGGGTCCCCCCTCTGTTGTTGTAGAGGAGGAAAGGCACCTGTAGAGGGCGGTGTCTCGGCCAGGGTCACACAGCGTCACGTCATGGCCAGGTCCTAGGCATCCCACATTCCCACCCCTGCTCCTTCCTTCTCGGAGCCGGGAGATAGGCCTCCCCGGGCTCTGCCTGAATGGGGATCGATGGCCTGGGCTGTTGTCTCTCCTGAGTATCCCAGAGGATGCTGGGAGAGTACACCGACCCCTTCTGGGGATTCCCCAGCAACACACGTGCATGCGTGCACATGCACTCACAGGCAGACCTTTGCCGGGGGCTGACCTTTGTGGGCTCCTCCATTAACGTCTTCATTTTCCTACTTAGAAATCCTTGGCCCCTTAAGGAAGTGAGGCAATGGTATGGAGGGTCTGTACCCCTACCCTGTAGGGCCACCTCCAGGGCTTTCTTTTTCTTCCTGCTTCACTGCTGCTCCTCCCTCCACCCCAACACACACACACACACACACACACACACACACACACACACACACACTTCCCAGAACCCACCAGATGAGGTGGTCCTAGCCCCGGGGGCACAATCATTTTCCTCCTCGTTGCCCTCGGAGCCCCAGCCTCAGATGTGCCCCCTCCTGGGCTTTCTGTGGGAGCCCCTAACCAGAATGTCCATCCACCTTCCCCGCCCCCCACCCCTCAGGATTCCTCCTCAGCCCCTCCCCTTTGCTTCTCTGGGTCTCTGCCCCTGCACTGGCTTTTCTCTGCCCCTTCCCACCTAAATGTACACCCCTTCCAGTCCTTCTCCCCAGCTGTGGCTGAGTCCTGCCTCCTGCCAACTCGGGGGTTCCAGTGAGGGCAAGGATGGTCTCTCCCTTCACACTGGGGCTCCCTGAGGGCAGGGTTGATGTCGCCCTTCTCAGAGGTGGGGGGCTTCCCGAGGGCTCACCCATTTCACTAGCCAATAACATCAGCCCATTTCCCCAGGACATGGGGCGGACACTGGCTGGAGAGCTACTTCCCACTCTGGGCTTCAGCCCAGAGGGCTGTGGCCCTAGGCAGCCAATGGGGCACAGGGATACCCCAAGTAGATGATTAACTGCAGGCCCAGCAAGTGACCCTGGGTCCACTGTGTCCCCACTGCCTCTCCCTGGAGAAGGCCAGTAGCCTGGTTGGGGTACCGGTCCTGCTTTCTGGAGGAGATGAGCATCGATAGGTGTATGAGGTCGACACCCAACCCTGACCACACCCCTCTGACCTGAAGGCCTATAGGGTCATTGTTGGGCTGTAGTTCCACTCTATTTTTCTTTTTTCCTCTCTGACGCTGGCTGTTGTTTTGTTTTTCAGAGCAAATGTTGTCAATGTGCCCAAAATCGGGTTTCTGGCTTTTCACCAGGCTGCCCCCAGGCCTTGGGCGTTGGAGATGCTGGGAGCAGACACAGCCTTCCAACCCCTCCAGACACCTGCCCTCAGTAGGGGCCTCGGCCCTGGGCACAGGACCTGGCTGGAAGGGCCCAGGTTTCCCTTTTATCAGAGCCTCCTTGGCTGCCACTCAGTCGGTGCGCATGGGGGTGACAGGAATCTGGGCAGGTGAGGGGCCAGGTTGACAACTGAGAGTCCCAATCGCAGCATCTGAGGGGAGACACAGCCACAGGTACAGAGAACACAAATGTAGAGACCCACGCCATCTACCGAGAGGCACACAGAGACACAGGTGTGTGGACACACAGGTGTACAGAGATACACAGACTGCATACCACCTATAGTCACACAGACTCCGGCACATAGAGATGTGTGTGTAGATACACAGCTGTGCAGGCTCAGGTTCTCTCAGACACAAGTTTGCATGCAGAATTGTGCACGTCTACACAGGCTTTCTCAGCCACTGTGTCATACGTAGGAACACTCGCACATACATGGAAAGATACTGAGAACACACAAATGTACACCCAGCTGTAGTCATTGACAACTACAGGAACACTTAGATCTGGGGACATGACTGTATACTTGTGTAAACACACACACACACACACACACACACACACACCATACAGCGTTAGAAGCAGACACATCCCCCCTGAGACCATACCCATCTGTCCACGTACAGAGGCACTTGGCCACACGCATGCACATGCCAAACACCTCTCTGGCGTGTGAGCTGTGCTCAGTAAATACGTATTGAATGAATGAATGAGGAGAGGACATACCAGTAGAAAGAAGTGGGGCCTGCGGGAAGGGGAGCTTGGCTCTGGTTTGCAGGGTCTGTAGACTCTGTGTTTGTGGGGTTGGCCCTGGGACTGGCCAGGCGGCCCTTCCATCGGTGAGGAGGTGGAGGCCGGTGGGCACTGTCTCAGAGCGGGACCTGGAAGGTGGGAAAGGGGCGTGTACGGAGGTCTTCTCACTCAACCGCAGTTGTCTGAGCACATGCTGCGTGCCGGTGCCGAGCCCGGGGCTCCGAGGATGCCGTCCTGTTTTTCCTGGCTGGAAGTCAACAGCCTGGGCGCTGCCACTTCCCAGGCTGCCACGGTTTGGGCGAGGCACTCGGCTTCTCTGAGCATTTAACTCCCCAGTTTTCTCACCTGTGAAATGGGGGAAAGAGAATAAAACTTCATCTGATTGCATTGTGGTGAAAAGGAGTTCTCCGTGGGCATGCAGTCAGCAAGTTCAGACTGTGGGGAACTTTACAGGACAAATGACCTGGTTTCTTCAACAAACATATTGCAAAATAAACAAATAAATAAAAGGAGTGGGAAAGATGAATATGTATATATTTAAAAATGTGTTTTTAGTGTGGCTCAGTGGTTGAGTGTCGACCTGTGAACCAGGAGGTCAGGGCACATGCCTGGGTTGTGGGCTCAATCCCCAGTGTGGGGTTTGCAGGAGGCAGCCGATCAATGATTCTCTCTCATCATTGATGTTTCTTTCTCTCTCTCCCTCTCCCTTCCACTCTAAAAATCAAGAATAAAATAGATTTTTAAAAATCCTCACTTGAGGATATTTTTCCATTGATTTTTACAGAGAGTGAAAGAGAGAGGGAAAGTCAGAGAAATACATTGATTGGTTGCCTCCTACACGAACCCTGACCAGGGCCTGGCCAGGGAGGAGCCTGCAACCAAGGTCTATACCCTTAACCAGAATCGAACCTGGAACCCTTCGGTCCCCAGGTCCATGCTCTATCCACTGAGCCAAACTGGCTAGGGCCCTCTCCACTTTTATATAAGCTTCAACATCTTCAAAATAAAAACGATTCAAAGAATTGCTGTATGTGAAAGTTCCCAGTCTGACATAATGTAAAGTTAGCTTGCTTCTTCGAGGTATAGTTTTCCTCCAAGTCATAAACCTGTGAAATACTAAATATTGCACAGATACATAGTACAAGGTAGAGGAGGGAGCCCTCTTACTCACTGATTTAAGATGTTCAGTTCCAAGTTGCTATGAGCCTCTTGTCCAGCAGGGGGCTCCCTACTCTCTGCTTCTCTATCTGGCTATTGCTCTGGGGTTGTTAAAAGGAAGAGATTTTCAGAAGTGTAAGAGAGCCCTAGCCAATTTGGCTCAGTGGATAAAGTCAATGGGTCATGGGTTCAATTCCCATCAAGGGCACATGCCTGGGTTGCGAGCTTGATCCCCAATAGGGGGTGTGCATGAGGCAGCCGAT